AGTCGTAATTTTTGCAGTAGTTTTGAAGTTGTTCAGGAGTAAATTGTTTAGTTTCCAAGTTTTGTGTATTTTCGAAGGCTCTTTCTTTAGTTGACTTCAAGTTTAATTCCATTTATTGGAAAAGATGCTGGATATAGTTTCTGTACTTCTAAATTTATAAAGCTTTGTTTTGGGCCCTACTATGTGATTGGTCTTTGAAAATGTTTATGTGTGTCACTTGATTGTTGGGTGAAATGATCTATGAATATCTGTTATATCCATTTGATTTATGTTATCATTTAGTTCCTGTATCTCTTTCTTTCTTGTGTAAATGACCTGTCCAGTGGTAGCAGTGGAATGTTGAAATCCCCAATAATGAGCATGTTGCAGTCTATCTCTCCTTTAGATCTAGCAGTCTTTTACATATTTGGGTGCTCCTATGTTGAATGTGTAAACATTTGTAATTGTTATGTCTTCTTGGTGAATTAAATCTTTTAGCACTATATAATGTCCTTCTTTGTCTCTTTTCACAATTTATTTTTTGAAGTCTATTTTGTTTGATTTCAGTGTATCATGGCTCCAGCTTTTTTTTTTTTCCTTTCTGTTTGCATGAAATAACTTTTTAGTCCTTCAGTTTCAACCTATTTATACCTTTATCAGTGAAGTGTTTCTTGTAAGTAGCATATAGAAGGCTCCTGAGTTTGTTTTTTCTTTAATCCATTTAGCCAATTTATGTCTTTTAATTAGAGAACTTAATCCATTAACATTCAGCATTATTATTGACATCTCTGTCATTTTATTAGTCATTTTCTTAGTTGTTTTCTGTTCTCTTATTTCTATTTGTCTTCTTTTCATTTTCCGGATGTAGTATTACCTTATTTCTTGAAGTCTAGTGTTAAATTCTTTCAGTTTTTGTTTATCTAGGGATTATTTTATTTTTCCTTCCCATTTGCAGGATAATATTGATTGATATGGTATTCTTGGCTGAATTTATTTTTTCTTTCAGAGTTTTAAATACGGCCTTTCTTTCTTTCTTTCTTTCAGAGAGATTTTTGCTATAGGGCACATGTGCTCACCGGAGACACAAAGAGAGACAGACAGAAAGTAAGAAATCACCACCTGGGGGGGATAGCCATGCCACAATCCCTTCTTCTCCATTCTCCTCTAGGGATTTTGGGCATGCACACACATGTGTCCAGCATGAGTTTAAGCCTCAGGGTCAAGACTCAGAGCGTGGTTGACTATGAGGGAATCTAGCAATGTAACCATTATCACACTATCTGCTGGTTTCTTCCTATTCTTTCTTTGCCTGTCTTGTTTCAGTTGAAAAATCTGAGTTTACTTAGTCTGATTGGGTAAACTTTATAAGTAACTTGATGATTCTCTCTTGCCATTTTTATTGGATCGTTGGGAAAGTCATGACATATTTTTGCATAGGAAAACAGAAAAATGCATCATGATTTTACTGACAACCTAATAGATTATTGTCTTTGTCTTTGATTTTTACCAATGTAATTATGATATGCCTTACAGAGGATATGCTTATGTTGAATCTATTTGGCATTCTCTTCTTGGATCTGAATGTCTGTGTGTCTGTCTAGATTTGGGACATTTTTAGACAATATTTCATAAACAAGGTTATCTATACCTTTACCTGTCTGTCTCTTTGCCTTCTGGAATACTCATTATTGCAGCTGCTTGGCTACTTAATGGTATCTAGAATTTCCTATATTTTGTCCTTAATGTTTTGGGCTATTTTTCACCCTTTTGATGGCTTGGACTTTGGATTTTGTCTCTAAGGTTTGAGTTTTTTTTTTTTTTTTTTTTTTTTTTGGCATGGTCTAATCTGCTCTTAATATTTTCAATGGAGATTTTTATTTTCTGTATTATAGTCTTCATCTTCAGAAGTTCTGTTTGATTCTTTTTTATAGTGTCTATCTATGGCATTCTTCCTTCATGTTGTGGAATGATTTTCTCATCTTCTGGTATTGGACAATACCAGGAGATTGTCCATTTTCTCTTGCACTTGACTAAATTTTATTAGGATGACTATTTTGAATTCTTTTTTCTGACATTTCTGTGATTTCCCATGTTCTATCCATTATTGGTGAGGAGTTACTATAGAGATATTTCCTTGTCCTTTCATATTTCTTGTGTCTTTGGTGAAGTACTCACTTTGTCTTAAATGTTGGAGTAGTTTCTGTCATGCCAGGAGAGGAAGAACCGCAGCTTTTAGTCCCAGGTATGTCCCTGGTTATGTGGTTCAGAAGTGGTCAGCCATGTCTTCTAGATCAGAGCCAGGCTTATGTAGCCTGTATGTAAGACAGTTTAGAGAGGTCTTACATACAGACATCAGTTGGAGCAAGTATCTATTCCCCCATACCTGAGTTTGATAGAAGGGAGAATGTAGACTTGCCCTGCCTGCCAAACAGGTGGTAGTGCCCCAAACCCTAAGTCTCTATTGAGGTGGGGTGTTCCCTTTTGTATTCTCTGCTTCCTCTGGGCTGTGGAGACTTGATTGTAAGTGGAGCATCACCTGGTGGTTACCTTGCAGAACAGTGTAGCTCTCTTGCCAATGTGGGGTGGGAGTAGAATGAGAGGTCATTTTTTACCCCTGAATCTGTTTGCTCTTGTGCTTCCCTATAATCTGTGGCTCTGTGTGTTTTCTTTGCTCTTCTGTGGATGAAATTGGTGGAATCCATGGTGAGGGTCTAGAGTTGGGAGTTTCAGCAGAGAGTTTCTCTTATTTGTTTCCTCTGAAGTAGGTTTGGGAAGGAAGAAGTCCTCCAGAGACTCACTGGCTTCTGGTGGTTGGTTCTTCTCTACTTTTGGAAGTAGAAACCATGTAAACTACAAGTTCCTCCTCCCCCTCCCCATGGTCCTGCCTGATTCCTTCGACTGCTCACAAGCAGTGGCCACAGCCCAGGCACCTGTTGGTTGCAGAGATGGCAGCAGTCATTCTTCCCCTCAGTCAGTGACCATGTTCTCCTGACTTATTCAACCTCTCTGGTCCTGGTATAGCTGAAGACTGAGCAGGAGTAGGTGGGGCTGGGTGAGAGTGGGTGGACCTGAGTCGGGGAGGTGGAGCACTAGGTACAGTAGTAGCAGCAGCGCTAGCAGACTGCATGAGGAGGCACCTATGGGGGCTAGCTAGGGTGTGGGCAGCTGCTGTGGTGAGGGCTGGTGAGTGCACGATGGAGATGGGTTTATTTGAAGTTAATTTTTATGTATGATGTGGGATAAAGATCTAAGTTGTTTGTTGTTAACGATAATGTTGCTTTCATAGAACTCCTGGATTTTTATTTATTTAATATTTTATACTAATAGTCATTATTTTAAAAATAGAAATGATTTTCTTTTTCTCTCCTAAGAGAAGGCTAGGGGAAGACATGTACTGTTTTTATTTCCTGCCTTTTTTTTTTTTTTTTTTGCTATGGGCGCCTGCGCTCATCAGAAAGACCGAGAGAGACAGAGAGACAGGGAGTGAGAAGTCACCCCCCAGGGGGGATGGCCACGCCGCAATCCCTTCTTCTCCTTTCTCCTCTTGGGATCTTGGGCACGCATGCACACGTGCCTGGCATAAGTTTAAGCCACCGGGTCCGGGACTTGAACCACAGTCAACTACATGGGAGTTTAGCGACATGGCCATTACGCTAACTGCTGGTGCCTTATTTCCTGCTGTTTTTTTAATGGCCAGAGGGTTATGTACTCATGAGAGAGAAGAGACAGGGTACCCTCCAATAGGACACAGTCATGCCTCAGTCCTTTTTCTTTTCTTTCTCCATTTCTCTCAAGATTCTGGGCATGTACACACACGTATCTAGTGTGTTTCTCAAGTCACCAGGGCCAGGCCTCAAACCATAGTTGGCTCTGTAGGATCCAACTCCCTTAAGCATTGTGTTGTAGTACTGGCCAGACTCGTGTCATGCCAGGGTCTTGTCATGCCCTGATCTCTCCCCCAAGATCCCGGCCAGCTAGGATCATGTTCTCACGTGAGCATGCCTGGAATCTTTAGGTAGACCCAGGATGTAAATCCGAGCCTTCAATGTGGCTCCAGTATCATGCAACAATGCTATGTATCACCTCCATCTCTGGGGCTAAGCCCACTATTCTTCATGTTTAAATATTCCCATTAGGCTGGTGCCTATGTCATTTGGGTATGTTTTGGTTTTTGTTTTGTTCTGTTTTGTTTTGTCTTTGGCTACATATGTCCTTTCTGCCTCTTCAGTATTTTCCCTATTACGTACCTGAAATCAACCATTTCTCCATTTTTCTATGGGGCTCTGATTTCTTTTTGTGGATGCTCATTTCTAGTGAATAATAATTCTAAACCTTCTTAATAGACAAAACAATGCAATACACTTTTTAAAATCATGAGTTCATATTGCTGTTTTTTTTCATTCAGATTTAACATCATAGGTTTGCTTCCTTTATTAGTTTTTCTGGTTTGTTACATTTTAAAAATTCTATGATTGCATTGTTCCCAGCCTACTGCTTAAGGGAACTGGATCCCATATGGCTAACTCCAGTTTCGATCCCAGCCTTGGTGGCTTGAAAAACACACTGGGCACATGTACATGTGTGCCCCAAATCCCAACAGGATGGAGAGACCACACCCCATTGAGGAGTACTTTCTCTCTCTCTCTCACTCTCTCTCTCTCTCTCTCTCTCTCTCTTCTTTTCCCTCAGTCTTTTAGTCTATTTCTGGTGAGTGTAGTAGGTATCCTCTGGCAACTGAAAACATTGTTTAAAAAAATTCCTTTATTATCATTTCAGTGATGTTTAAATGAGATTTTTCATTCTACCATCATTAAACAGAATCTGTTGTCCCTTTACACAGCTCTGGGGGCTGTTAAAACCTCTGAGCATTTATCTAAGTAGATAAAAACCCAATGAGATCATCAAAGAGTTAAGAAGAAAAACAACTAAAAAAATTTCAGTAGAGAAAGCTGCTCTAAAATTTAATGGACTAAGAAAGGGATGTTTTCTCAACCCTTCCCTTCATTTTTCTTACTTACTAGTTTGGAGTGGTCGGCTGTTATCGTAGATGAGGCTCATAGAATTAGGAACCCAAAGGCTAGAGTAACAGAAGTTATGAAATCTTTGAAATGCAATGTCCGCATTGGCCTCACAGGAACCATACTTCAGAACAACATGAAAGAACTGTGGTGCATTATGGACTGGTAAGTGAAAACACTTTCGGAAATTATTTTAATACTTCCTTAGCTTAATGCTCCCAAGTTTATTAATCATCGATTTGGGGGTTGGGATAGAAAAGGCACAATCATTTGTCTGTTTAAAGAAGTGTTTGGTCCAAACATGGTATACATAATAACGAACCCCATTAAAACGTATCTGCCTCCTATGCTCTTGGTCCCTGAAGTAAATGTGCCTGCTAACCCACCAGTTCCCTCGTCTTCTTGTTATCAACTGAGACTGACATGAAGAAAGAATATTCTATTTTCTTGGCTTTTGTTTCTGTTGTCATTAATAAACAAGTGACTTAGTGTATTTTGTAGAGGCAAAAAGAGGAAATCAATGTTTCTTTTCAATAACTTATAGTCCTCACATTTTCTTTATTGTCTTTATAAAGGGCTGTGCCAGGACTTTTAGGTAGCAAGATCTACTTCAAGAAGCAGTTTTCTGACCCAGTAGAACATGGTCAGAGACACACAGCAACAAAAAGAGAACTAGCTACTGGCCGGAAGGCCATGCAAAGGCTTGCAAAAAAGATGTCTGGCTGGTTCCTTAGGCGTACCAAGACTCTTATCAAGGATCAGTTGCCTAAGAAAGAAGACCGGGTGAGAACTACATTTGAATATATTATTTCTTGTCATTTTTTTTCCTGAAAAAAGTTATTTTAAGAGGAAGTTGAGGAGCCAGAAAATGGTATAGTGGTTATGTCACTGGACTCCCACATGGACAACCATGGTTGGTGTCCTGGACCTGGTGGCTTGAAAATCATGCTGGGTACGTGTGCGTGCGTGCCCAAGATCCCGGAAGGAGAATGAAGCATAAGGGATTACAGTGTGGCCATCCTCCCTGGCAGGGTGATTTCTTACTTTCTTCCCTCTCACTGTCTCTGTTTCTCTCTCTCTTTGGCAAGCATATGTGCCTTAAGGCAAAAACCTCTTAAAGAAAAAAATGGAAATCTATCTCCTGTAGTACTTTATAAATATGTTTTCTTGCCATTTATTCTATGTGGGAAAAAAATGTAGGTGCAGAGTTTTAGAAAACATTAACTGAGCCCTTACAAATTTTACTAACCTGCTAGCTAACAGGTTCACTGTTAGTCTGTCTTGTCTTGTCTGTCTGCCTTTCTTTCTTTCTTTCTTTCTTTCTTTCTTTCTTTCTTTCTTTCTTTCTTTCTTTCTTTTTTCTTTCTTCCTATCTTTATCTATTGGTTTTTACCAGAGGGCATTTACACTCTCTGGAGAGAGATAGAGATAGGAAAGTGAGAAATCATTCCCTTGAGGAGATAGCCACACCATAGTCCCTTCTCTATTTTCCTCTTGAGATTTCCAGCATGCACACACAGATGCCTGGTGTCATTATCAGGCTGCCCTTTGGCGTGCATATACGTGTGCCTGGAGTGCTTCTCAGGCTGCTCAGTCCGGGTTTGAACTGTATGGTTGGCCACGTGGCATCAGCTGCCTAAACCACCTCACCACAGGCTGGCCTGACAATATATACTTTAGGACCTTAATTCTAGTTATAGAACCAAATTTGTTAAAAGCTTTATTTTTTCTTTTTTCAGTTCTGCTTCTTGTAAAATGCTACTTGCAATTACATTTTCTAAACTATTTTTTAGAACTATTGCATTGTTCATTGTTAAGAAAATTTAAGGAGGTGACCTCAAGAGGAATGCTTTTTTGCTCTATAAAGTGGTCTTTTATAGTTTTTTAATCTTACAGTTCTTCCAGCTCAGGCCATGAAATAAAGATGGTATAAATTAGCCAGTCAGGGCAGCACAATGGCAGTGTAACACTCTGTGATCCTGAGGCCACAGAGAAGGTCTCAGGATCACATGTTGAGATCTCCCTGTGTGTGCTGGCCATGTGTGCAGACACTGTGACCCTGCCTGGCTTAGACTTGGGGTGGATCACACCACGAAGACCCGGTTAGGGGTGCCTATCTTTCTCTTTCACTCTGACTTTCATCAAAGAAATGAAGTTTTAAAGATTCTATAAATAACTGGGAACCAAATCTAATTAAGATGATCTCAGATAAGGACAGTGTTATCAAAGGCCCTCTAGTCTTAGGATATCCTATTGTTAGAAAGATAGATTTTAAAGGAAAATATGCAAGTTAGAGAAACTGATGCAATATGCGATTTTTCATATTTATCTAAAATACTATTACTGAATTATCATGAATTACTACTTTTTAAAATGTTTTGCGCAATTTTATTTCTATTATTTGGTTGTCTATCTAGTTGAAACAGCAAAATGTAAATACATAAAGATAGAGTTGTGTGGGGGAACCAGCAGTTAGCGTAATGGCTATGCCACTGGACTCCCATGTAATCGACCGCGGTTCACGTCCCGAACCCGGTGGCTTAAAACTCACTCCGGGCACATGTGCATACGTGCCCAAGATCCTGAGAGGAGAATGGAGGAGAAGAGATTGCAGCGTAGCCATCCCCCCTGGGGGGTGATTTCTCGCTTTCTGTCTCTCTGTCTCTTTCTGGCGAGCGCACATGCCCTATAGCGAAAACCTCTCCAAAAAAAAAAGATAGAGTTGTACGTACAGGTTTAAAGCTTGACTTCAAAATCAGATATTGTTGGGTTTGAGTCCTGGCTCCCCTGTTGAAAAGTTTTGTGAGTTGGAGCAATTTTCTTGAGACTCTCTTACGGGGTGTACTCACCTGCCAAGTGGGAATGATGGTAATGGTGCCTGCCTCATAACTTGCACTGAAATGCAGGACACACAGAAATGTTTAGTAGGTGTTGCTATGTTTAGTAGTAGCTCCAACTACCCTCCGTACTTTGATCATTGACCGCCATCTTCTGTATTCTCTTTTTGTTCTTATATGTGCTTATACATACTCAAAGTTAGAATCTAGAGGTACTTAATATTTTATAAAAAATTTTTAAAACAATATAGCATTTTATGTAAATATCCATGTATTCACTTGGATGCACATTTGTCATTTTTTTCAGTAACATTCTGTTGTAGTGATAATATACATATCAATATTTTTAAATAGATGAATTTTCCCTCTTTGTGACATTCCTCAAAGTCCTATCATGGGCATAATGTTGTAACCCTTGTTACTTACAGCTGTATCAAGAACAATTTTACTAATTTCCAGTGCTACCAGAAAGACAAGGTAAAATAAGTTCCTCATTGGGACCAGCAGTTGGCATAATGGCTATGTCACTGGACTGCCATATAGTCGACCGCTGTTCGAGTCCTGGACCCGGTGGCTTGCTTAACACTCACGCCAGGAGCGTGTGCGTGTGTGCCCAAGATCCTGAGAGGAGAATGGAGGAGAAGGGATTGCGGCGTGGCCGGTGATTTCTCGCTTTCTTTTTTTTTTTTTTTTGAGGGGTTTTTGCTATAGAGCACGTATGTTCGCTCTCCAGACAGACAGAGAGAGACAGAGAGACCGAAAGCGAGAAATCATCCCCAGGGGGGATGGCCATGCCATCTCCTCCGTTCTCCTCTCAGGATCTTGGGCACACACGCACACGCGCCTGGTGTGAGTTTTAAGCCACCGGGTCCGGAACGCAAACCGTGGTAGACTACGTGGGAGTCCAGCGACATAGCCATTATGCTCTCTGTCTGTCTCTGTCTTTCTGGAGAGCGCACGCATCCTATAGCAAAAACCTCTCTCCCCCCAAAAAAAGGTCCTCAGAATGTAGTGGCATTGTTTCATCATATTTTCTTCCTTTCCTGAATTGGTGCACTAAATAGTATTTGCTTTTATGTGCATTTACTTAATTCTTTTCTTAACTAACATTAAGAATTTATATCAGAATATCAAAAGTAAATGCTCTATTTCAGTTTTCAGTAATATAAAGTTTTAAGGTTTTCCTAAATTGCCCAAGTATTTCAGTAAGCATTTATTATTTACACCATTGTTCTGAAATTTTTCTATACTGAGTTTTTTGGTTTGGCATAAACTGTAATGGTTTGTTTTTTTATGATAAGCTGATATTGAACCCTGAGAAGAAACACAACATATTGAAATACATAAGGAAATCACATAACTCAATTTTTCATATTATGATTCCTTTGGATTAAAAAGTCTTAGGATTTGGTTTGACATAAACCGTAATGGTTTGTTTTTATGATAAGCTGATATTGAACCCTGAGAAGAAACACAACATATTGAAATACATAAGGAAATCACATAACTCAATTTTTCATATTATGATTCCTTTGGATTAAAAAGTCTTAGGAGGTTTATTTGAAAGTAAAATTTTTATTTGTATAATTGAGGGTGGGGTGAGGAGCAAAGAATATAAGAGAATGGGAAACATCATTATAATCATGTAATTAGAGGAGAAAATAGTTTATAAGTACTTTTCATTATGATAATCTGAAATGTGATGTGCATGATAATTACTATTATCACCCTACCAATATTCTAATAATTAATTTGTATTTGGTCTTGGCAGATGGTGTATTGTTCTCTGACAGACTTCCAGAAAGCAGTCTATCAAACAGTGCTAGAAACAGAAGATGTGTCTCTGATACTTCAGTCTGCTAAACCGTGCACCTGCAGCAGTGGCCGCAAAAGGAGGAACTGTTGTTATAAGGCAGGCGTTTCAATATGATCATTCTCCTATCTTGCTTTAGAGTTCATAGATCTAGTGTCATTGTAAATAGCAGATAACTTTTCCTCAGACAGTTCTTTAACTTTAGGATCCTCATTGTCTTAGAATTTGTCGTGCCAGAAATAACCAGACAATAAATACAATTGTTAGAGATACATTTTATCATGTAAGCAGTTACATTGCCATCGTAGTCCTTTTCTTGTTTTCATTTTCTGTATTTTTCTGGGTTTTGTAAAAAAGAAAAAAAAAATTTAAATATTATGTAATAATAAATAGTAATCACATACAAAATACAATATTAAGACATATTTTCAAGATTTAATTTTAGAAGTAAGCTTTAATTTGACATCCTTCTTTTCAGCTTTTATTGAGAAGTATCCACTTTTTGAAACATCATTTCATTTTTGGGAAGTTTCTCATTATCACTAGTAGTCAGCTAGCTTACTCTTTGAGAGTAGGCATAAAATATCATTCTGATGTTAGATAATGGTGTCAGTTTTATAGAAACTGTGTATCAATAGAACAAAGTAAGTATATTTCTAGAAACAAAATTTATTTGACTTTTTTAACCTTCTGTGTATATTCTCCACCCTTTTTTCATCTATATTTTAAGTTATCTATCATATATCTATGCACATAGAAGACCCTAAGTAAATCTTTATCTCCATTGGTGCTTATTCCACCTCATTTATTTTGCTATTTTTAATCCCTTCCCTTTTTGTGTGATATCAATTTCTTACAAAACCTTGGAAATGAGAGGAGATTGTAAAGGGGTCCATAGGGCACTGCCACTGTAACTGTAGAGTTGTTATCAGGAAGCATTCCTATCACTCTGTGTCATGAGGATACATACTCTTTGGAATGAGAATTTTCTTTTTTAAAAGCATTATTGTATTATGATTCACTAAGAGTATGATTCCACACTAGTGATTTATGAATATCTTATGTAGATAGTTGACCATCATTGTCATAGAATTTATTATGCCAGGGGACCAGCAGTTGACATAATGGCTATGTCCCTGGACTCCCATGTAATCAATCGTGGTTCAAGTCCCAGACTCGGTGGCTTAAACTTATGCTGGGTGCGTGTGCGTGCATGCCCAAGAGAGGAGAATGGAGGAGAAGGGATTGTGGTGTGGTCACACACCCCCACCCCCCGCTGGGGGGTGATTTTTCGCTTTCTGTCGCTCTCTGTCTTTCCAGTGAGCACATGCACCCTATAACAAAAACTTCTCCCCTCCCCCCCCAAAAAGAATATATTGTGCCAGAAATAACCAGACTAGAAATACAATGATTAGAGATACATTTTATGATGTAAGCAGTTACATAGCCATCGTAGTCTTTTCTTGTTTTTGTTTTCTTATTTTTCTGGTTACAGACCAATTCCCATGGTGAGACTGTGAAGACCTTGTATTTCAGTTACCTTTCAGTCCTTCAGAAGGTAGCTAACCACATTGCACTCCTGCAGGCTTCTGGAGCCTCCAAACAACAGGTATGCACTGACTTTTTACGTTTTTGTGGTATTGTTAGTATAAGTATTTTGTTTGATATAAAATTTCTTAATAAATATTAAGATTTTTTTGTATGAAATTTAAGAAGAAACTAACTTGTTTGCTTTTAAGCTTAAGTACCAGGAGATATGGTACTTAAGTTTTAAACCAAAGTGAGAAAATTTAAACCTAAAATAATACTTATGCCTCTACTAATCTTATGCATTTAATTTTCCTAACATCCTTTGATATAATTACTTTACAGGATATTTGGATGAGTCGGTCCTATTCCAGTAATAATACATCTAAAGATATTTATCTAATCTGCTGGATAAAATGAAGATTTAAATTCCCCTTTATTAAATATTAGAGTTATTTTCCAAATTGACAAGAACCAGTGATTTAAAAGTTTAGACTTAAATGCAGTTGTTTACATTTTTGTATTATAGTTGATGCAGTTTAAATGTAATTTTGAAATGTAATAAGAATTTAGTGTTGAGTCCGGCAGGTGGTGTGGTGGTTGGGATACTAGACTCCCACATGGCCACTACCATTCAGACCCCAGACCTGGTGACTTGCTTTCTCTCTCTCTTTCTCTCTCCCTCTGATCAAATGAAAAACAATGATAAATTAAATTAAATAAATAATTGTTTACAAAAAAAGAATTTAGTATTTTTTTGGATAGTACTATTTCTCTTTTTGGCTCCTTGTTTTAGAAATCTTTAAAAGTAATGGAGGTGGCCCTGTGGCCTGATCCCACATGGCTGACTGCATTGGGGTACTGCCTTTGGTAGCATTTTGTTTTGTTTTGTTTTGTTTGTTTTGTTTTGTTTTTGAGAGGTTTTTGCTATAGGGCACATGTGCTCACCAGAAAGTCAGAGAGAGATAGAGAGACAGAAAGGGAGAAGTCACCCCCCAGGGGGAATGGCCACACCACAATCCCTTCTCCTCCATTCTCCTCTCAGGATCTTAGGCCCACATGCACACACGCGCCCGGCATGAGTTTAAACCGCCGGGTCCAGGACTCTAACCGCGTTCGACTATGTGGGAGTCCAGCGACATAGCCATTATGCCAACTGCTGGTCCCAGGCTTTGGTAGCTTGAAAAACTCATATGTATGCATGTTCCCAAATCCTGAAAGGATAAAGAAATGGAAGAGAGGAGATCGCAGTGTGACCATACCCCATTGGGAGTACTTTCTCCCTTTCTCTCTGTCTCTCTCTGGTGAGAACATTTTCCGGTTTATACTGTTGTTAGAAGCATATTTTATTATAGAGCTATTCAGATATTTTAAATATAAAGATGTATTTTAAATATAAAGATAATATAAATGTATGGGATATATTTAAGTAATAGATGCATTACTTGGAAAATTCTGCTTTGATAAACTGACAGTCTAAATTAATTAGCATCTGTTATATCCCAGTGAGCAGGAAATCAATGGAACATCCCAAGAAGAGAATAAGGAAAAAGTGGAAACAATTCTGCAAAAGTACACAATTTGTATTTGTTCACCTATTGAATATATGTTACTCACCCCAAGCCCCCCCAAAAACTTGAAATTATTTCGGCTCTTAGAGTTCTTAATTTATAACTGATTTTCAATGGGAAGTTTCTCTTGTGGTTTTAGTTTGGGAGTAATCATTTGATAAAGGAATGCAATGTGGTTTATGCAAACAAAGCAGCCTGGCATTACCCTCGGCCCCTCCTTGCGGTGGTGTGACCAGGGTGGCCCTGTAAGTCCCATCGGGACGTGATCACCCTCCCACACTTTGCTTCACGAGGTCAGTGACAGTGCCGATTCCATGTTCCTGTTCTGATACTCTCTGAGAAGTGCCTGAGGATGCGGGTGTACTTACAGACACAAGAACAGTTTTTTGCTTTAGTTGTATAAAGCCATAAATGTACATAAGTTATGTTTAAAAGGTAAAAAAAGTGATGATAAATTAGAAGCTATTTGATTAAGAATTCATTAAAGTCCTATATGTTTAACATGTAGCTTAAAGATTTTCTGAAATTGTTAGACTTTTTTGTCTAAAAGTTGAAGAAGACAAAATCTTCAAAGTAATATCAAGTAGTCTATTTCTTCTAAATAGATTTTTTTTGTAAGCAGCTTCAAATTATACATTATATATGTGTGAGGTTAAAATCTATTTTCTTCTCTCTTTCCTCCTCAAGGAAACACTTATCCAAAGAATATGTGATCAAGTATTTTCCAGATTCCCAGATTTTGTGCAGAAAAGCAGAGAAGCAGCCTTTGAAACACTTTCTGACCCTAAATACAGTGGGAAAATGAAGGTAAGTCTTCATGTTTCAGGTTGTGCACAGACAGGAATGATATGTAGCATATTTATCCAGTGATTAGTCAGACACCAGCTATTCAGGACAGATGCTCAGTCATTCAGCAGAAACAATGGCTATGGACAGCCGTTGAGGTCGTGCCAGCATTGATTGACTCACGATGGGCCTGCGTACTGATGTGTGTGCATGGCAGGCTCTCAGTAGTAGTTGCACCAAATGTCCGTCAGACTTTCCTTATTGATACATTGGACGTCTCCCCATTAAGAAGTATGCTATTATCACATATATAATATCTTGTCTTCTTGAATGTTTTAGGAGATAACCTACCAGAAATGTTAATTAGGAGGTTGCGAATAGTCGTTAGTTTGAAATTAAAGGACCTTTTTGAAGAGTTCAAGGTGGGCAAGGCCTCTGTGTCTACACTGGATTTTTTGTGCCCCTTATTACTTGCCAACCTAGGCTGTTGGGTTGCATGGGAACATTTGTTCTACACGGGAAAGTGACTTGTAGTCATGCTGCCCGTGGTGATGCATTGAGGCAGGTGTGAAAAGTAAGGCGAAGTTCTCCTGCCCTGCCCTGACCCAGGCCTCTAGCATTGCCCGTGACAGCAGCCTGGACTGCCGACACTTCCAGCCTCCTGGTGGCAGGACTTTGTTTAATCCCTTAAAAACTATCAAGAATCTCTATTTATAGATTCACAGATTTTACACAACAGTTCCAAACTTCATGTTATAATTAAGAAAAAGGTAAGTTACTTCTTTTGGCAAAAGGAATAAAAAGGAAGTTATTCAAAATAAGACCTTTTTCTTAAAATTCTGGAAATACTACTTGCAGTTAATCTAGATAAACTCATTATCATTTATTTTGCTTGAGACTTTTAAAGTCAGTAAAATAAAATAGAAGGTGGGAATATAAGTAATAATAGATGATTAAGTTAAAATATATATGTGTGTATGTGTTTTAAAAGTAAGTTTGTACAGTGAAAATATCGTGATTTACTATCATAACAAATAATGCAATCTTCTAGGACCAGCAGTTGGCGTAATGGCTATGTCGCTGGACTCCCATGTAGTCAGCCATGGTTGACTTAGATTAGGGGATGAACAAACTATGTTTTAGCTGCACAATGGATTTTTACTTACCAGTGAAAAGAAATGAGCTGCTAGCTATGAAAAGACATGGAGGGGGCCAGCTGGTCATGTAGTGGTTAAGGTGGCCGGATCCTTCGTGACCAGCTGCACAGTTTGAATCTGAAAAACACACTAGGTACATGTGCACGCATGCACAAAATCCCAAGAGGAGAATGGAGAGGGAACTGCAGTGTGACCATCCTCCCTGGGGAAGATGGGGGGTGGGGGCACTTTCTTACCTACTTGTTTCTCTCTGTCTCTCTCTGGTGAGCACACACACACCCTATGGCAAATTAAAAATAAATAAATAAAAGGAGATGGAGCAGCCTTAAATGCTTACTTTCTAAAAGAAGCCAATCTGAAAAGACTGTATGATTTCAGCTACAACCACATGACACTCTGGAAAAGGCAAACTATGGAGACAGTAGGAAGATCAGTGGTTGCCAGGGGTTCTGGGAGAAGGAAAGGTGACTAGATGAAGCATAGGGAAATTTTAAGGCAATGAAACTATTAATATTTTATATAATACTGTAATGGTAGATACATCTCATTATACATTTGTCAAAACCCATAGAACTCTGCAATACAATGAATGAATCCTTATGTGAACTGTGGACTTGGGTTAATAATAATATATCTATATTCATCAGTTGTTACAAATATACTACACTAATATTAATCATTATTAGAAGTAATAATTAGTACACATTTTCTGATAAAATTAATAGAAGGGGGAGGGGTGGAAGTTGTTGGAAAAGAGGGTGTGTGCTGGAGTTTTCTGTACTTTCTATTCAATTCTTCTATAATCCTAAAAACATAAAGCTTACCAATAGAAAGTTATTATGCAAAATTCAAATGCACATACTCTATATGGAGTCGGTTATTTTTGAAAACATTAAATGGAAATAAAACTTATTTTATATGCACCCCAAATGTTAAAATGATGTTTACCTGATCTGTGACATTTTTATTCACCACTTAATTAGCTATCTGAGTAGATTTTTTTTTTGAGAGATACTTTTGCTATAGGGTGTGTGCACTCACCAGAGAGACATAGACAGAGAGACAGAAAGCGAGAAATCACCCCTCGAAGGGGGGATGGCCACGCCGCAATCTCCTCTCCTCCATTCTCCTCTCGGAATTTTTGGGCACACATGCGTATGCACCTGGCATGAGTTTCCAAGCCACCAGGTCTGGGACTCAAACCACAGTCGACCACGTGGGAGTCCAGTGACATAATCATTACACCATCTGCTGGTCCCATCTGAGTAGATTATTTTTTTTAACTCCATGGTTTTGTTTTATTTATTTATTTATTTTTGATGGATTCGGGGGATAAGGGCCAAAGTTAACAAAATGCCTTCCTTCTCTTGCTCAACTTCTAGGAGTGTTATATTGGCTATAAGATTTTTTTATTTAAAAGTTTAAATGTTTATCACTGGATAAAATTGCTTCATTGTTTGTTCCATAGTTTAGAAAAGCTTAGACTCATTAGAGAAGTTCTTTTCTCTCTGTGGATTGCTTTTCTGTGGTGTTCTCGAGTTGTCATTACCAGATGTGGAAATGCCTGTTTAAAAATAACAGTATTATTATTACATATGAGGCTTCGAACCGCGTGCTTCCTCCCTAAAAATGCCTTGTGTGGAGACAGAATATTGACATTTGGAAGTCAGAATCAAACCTGGAAGTCACGGCTTACTGTAAATAGAGAAACAACTGGGAGAAAATGAGGAGAGGTGTATATTAGACTGATTATTCTAAGGAAATAAATATCCAGACCTTTAGAACCTGGATGTAATTGAGCACATCTCATTACATCCATCTAGAGACAATTTAAATATTTCCTACAAGGAATGCCACGCTATAATTTAGTTTCTTAACATATTGTAGGTATAAAGAAAGTGTATTTTGGAAATTAAATTAATCCATTTAAATGTATCCCATCATCTAAATGCTTCCTTTTTATTAAAACCAGATGAGATGAAATAAAAGTCTTTGGGAACTTTACCTTCTTATTGACAATATGATGATGAATAACATTTGATGTAATATCTAATACTTTATTTCTCTAAGTCGAAAGAATAAAAGGAATTAGAAAAGATGATTGAGGTTAGTACTCTGTAAAAACAATTTTGAAGACATCCTCGAATGATGTATGTACGTATAAAGTGTACTTGTAGTTGGAACCGGTTCACCAGTGTTCTGTGGTCCATTCCAGGTTCTTCAGCAGCTTTTAAATCATTTCAGGAAAAACAGAGATAAAGTTCTGCTCTTCTCTTTTTCTACCAAGGTGAGTTTCCTCTGAAGTGTATTCCTGGCCAGCAAGCCCTAAATCCTGGGACATAAATTGTGATGGACAACCTAACAGATTATGGCCACATTTTCAGCCCTATCTGCTTTGTATCAAATGACAATGAGACAAGCAACGGGAGGCTTTCAGACAGACACTCAAATCTGTTCTATCAAGGTTGCTGCCAGAGGGCAAACTCAGCAGATTTTTATCTTCTATTGATGGTCTCGTTAATAATTAAAGTATAATGTAAGACATTTAAGATATTTTAGAACTTAGGAAATGGCACCAATGATGATGTATGTTTACGTACATGATTTGACCAATAACATTCTTTTTATTTGGGTTCTGTTTAAAAAAGAAAAAAGATTAATTAAAACAAAACAAAAACAAAAACAAAGGTTACTGAACATTGGATAATGGGAAGAACTATATGGGTCACAAGTAAGAAAAGTATTCATTGCTCTTGGAATTAAAAGAAATTGTGATCACCAAGACTGAGTAAATCTCCGCAATCATGTGAAATGTGTTCCACCAAGAACCCACCTTTGCCCGTCTCCACTCGTTTTCTCCAGTTGCTCGACGTGCTGCAGCAGTACTGCATGGCATCCGGGCTCGATTATCGACGACTCGACGGAAGTACAAAATCCGAGGACAGGCTCAAGATCGTGAAAGAGTTCAACAGTACACAAGACATTAACATTTGCCTTGTTTCTACAATGTAAGAAAATAAGGTTCAATAACTTGGTTGTATCTAATTGTTTATAAGATTTAGAGTAATTTTAGAAAATATTACTGGATTATTTATAGTGGTTATTCTTTTATTTAGCTTTATGGAGGAGCAGCAGAAATGTCATTAATTATAACAAAATACCACTATTTTCAATTTCACTTAACCTTTTTAAATAATTATTTTTAAAATGTAATTGTATTTATTATTATTATTTTTTAAAATTTGACTAGAGAGAGAGGGAAAGTGAGAAAGCAAGCCTTTAGGTCTGGGACTTGAACCATGGTTAACCATGGTGCCTTAACCACCATGCCAGCCCCTCCCCTTACTTAACCTTCTCTCCACATTCTCTCCTTTTTGTGGTGGGGGAGGGCAACCTCACTGTGTTATGATGCTCCTGCCTCTGCCTCCCAGCTGGGGTTGCAGGCATGCACAACACCATGCCTGACTATTTTAGACAGGGTCTTTCTTACTCTTTTGTCCAAGCTAGCCTCAAGCTCATGATCTCCTACCTCAGCCTGCCTGAATCGCTGGGATTACAGGTGGACACCACTGAATCTGATGAATCCAGGCCTCTCACCTGGCCCTAGCCTGTGGCGCACAGGATCTTAGCAGTACGTGCCACACAGCTGGACCCCTCGTGTCCTTTATCATCACTGAATTCCCCTTAACCTGGACTTATAAAGATAAAAGTGTTAAAAATGGATCTTTCTCCCACAGCATTTTCTGTGATAGTATTTTGACTAATGCCTGTGGTCAAAATAATTAAACTTATTCTTTATCAGTTAAAGGAGAATTTTTGTAGTAGTGGTTTTCTGACTGTGCTCAGGGATCCCTCAAGAGCCCACTAGGTCCGGTGGGCCAAGGCGTTTCTCTTCTATGCCTCTACGTTTTCTCAACCAGATAAGCCCCAGAGGTAGAAATTTTATAAAAGGTAAGTTGGTTCTAACATCTACTTACAAATCTCTAGTTAAAACCATTTAAAGAATACACACACATAAGAGAAAGATTTAAATCAGTATAAGCATCTAATTAAGATTAATTCTGGAGCCTGCAGTTGACTTGGTGGTTAAAGGGGCTGAATTCCCACATAGTCAACCACAGTTCAAGTACCGGATCTGGCAGCCTTCCTTCTCACTTTCTCTTTCTCTCTCTCTATATATATATAACAGGTCAAATTTTAAAAATAATAATAATAATAATAATAACAAATAGAATTAAATAAATAATTCTTTTTTAAAAAATGAGATGCATCTTTTTTTGAGGGGATAACAAACCCATAACTTTTGACATCTTATGTAATAAGAATTTTATAGATTGACTCTTACTGTCTTTCAAAAAAAATTTCCAAAGACTTTCAGAATTAATATATGTAAAATTCACAAAATAAAAGTAAAATCACAATAAAAATTTTAAAAACGAGAGATAAAATATGAATGAGCTACTTCTGCTCAGCACTGAAATCGGTCTTGAATTCTTGCAACTAAAGCAATAGGAGGTAAGTTTTGGATTCCCATTTTCCTATGAATGAATTCAAGAAATATTATCTCACATGAATTTTTACATACAAAGTATTAAGTGACATACAATATTGTCTTCAATTAGGTGTTATAAAACACATATAAGCAATCTTAATTTTAAAATACAGGCTGACAGCCTAACTGTAGTAGCACAATGGTAACACAGTGTTCTACAATACTGGAAGCCATGTGGAAGTTTGGGGTTCAGGTCCCAGATCAGCCTGTCTGAAAGACTGGGGGAAGACTGCAGCATGAGACTCCGTGAGAGTGCCTTTCTCTCTCTTTCATGAAATAAATTAATTAATTTACAAAAAAAAAAAAGTTTCAGATGTTGGAGTATTCTGGATTTAATATTTTGGGATAAAGGATTCTTAGATTTTTTGAGTGCCAGCATGACACAGGTAGAAAATTTCGTGTCTGATTTTATTATGTTACAGTTCACAGTGAAAATGCTATAACACGAAAATATTATATGAAATTATCTTCAGGTTATGTGTATGTGAAACAAATCACTTCGATGTCTAAACTTGGGCTTCAATACCAGGATATCTCTCTCTCTCTCTCTCTTTCTCTCTCTCTGATAAGGGATACTCAACCTGTGATGTGTCTCTAAGTAAAAAAAAAAACATTAGATAATAGTTCAAATATAGTACAGACCCTATCATAACAAGCAGTAGGCTCTCACTCTTCTGCTTACTTCTAGTCCAGTTTACTAAGATCTACCATAATATTGCTTATTGTCACTTCAACTATAGCTGTCAGATGTTGCTGTTAACTGGGACCAGCAGTTAGTGTAATGGCTATGTCGCTGGACTCCCATGTAGTAGACTGCAGTTCGAGTCCTGGACCTGGTGGCTTAAACTCACACTGGGCGTGTGTGCATGCGTGCCCAAGCTCCCAAGAATCTTGCTTTCTGTCTCTCTGTCTCTCTCTGTCTCTTTCTGGTGAGCACATGCGCCCTATAGCAAAAACCTCTCCCCCCCCCCAAAAAAAAATATTGCTGTTAACCTATCAAATTTTTTATTTTTTTAAAAAAGTTTTTTTTTCTTCCAAAAGTGAGAGACAGAGGCAGAGATAGGCAGCACTCTCAACAGGGTCTTGATGCTGCAGTTCACCCCTGCCTCTCCTATCCCCAGATCAGGGGCTTATACAGGCCTGGCACACTCAGGGAGGTCTGTAGTCGTGAACCTCTGATGGTCAGCCTCAAAGCTTTGTGTTTTAATCCTGTACCACCTTCTGGCTCTTTGTCATTTTTAGACTGTATTTTTTATTTTAAGAAGTTCTGTTAAATTTTTCAAATCTGCCTGTAGTTTTATAGGCATTTTGCTCTTTTATGATTTCTAATCTTTCATTTCTTCACTAATTTAAATTATACTTTTTTTTAAAAAAATCTCTTTTTGATTGATTGGCACATGTGGGTGCTAATTCTTTTATCTGCTGTTTTCTCTGGCTTTTTCTTTATGTTTTGTCATTTTTTAAATTTTGAGCTTATATTCATTGAGACTTTTTTCCTTTGTGGAAATCTTTTGAAGACTGGTTGTAGGAGTTTACTACTTGTGTGGTTTTGCTTTGGCTTCTGCAAGGCATCCCTATCAAAGCAAGGGAAGACGTTTTGGATTCCTGTTTTCCTGTGACCGAGTTCAAGGAGTAATTTATTTTATATTTCACTATATAAGGAACCTTATGGTATAATAAATGCACTCTTCAGCTTTGTTTTGTGAAAGACACATAAGCTAAGTTTTTGTTTTTCTTTTTTTTTGTTATGGTTTATGTTTAATTTCTGTTGTAGCAGAAATGTTTTTACATTGACTTAGTCATTATTTTGCCAGAATAGGGTTCTTATCGTCTTTTAGTTTATCATCTTTATACAACTTGGAATCTCTGTTTGAAAGGAGAGGATTTAGTCTATTTTCACTTTTCTCCCCTTTTTCCTCACAGCATTTACTATTTTTATTATTTCTGTTTGTCTATGAACTACTTTTGTTACTTTCAGTCACTGCCTGGCTGCATTGGATCTATTCTTCCCAAGTTTTTAATGGCATCTTCTTTCTTGGTTTGCCCCCTCATTTTATTGGGAAATACTCAGTTTTTAATGTTTGGTCCATCAGCCTCCTATGTATTCTCCAAGACTGGATAATGTCTGCTATTAGCATTAGCATACACCCATTGTATAGTCTACTTCTGTCACTTGTCCATATTATTTGTCAACTACTTGTAACTTCTCCTTAACAGGATATTAACATTTTTATTAAGTCTTACAACAATAACCAGGTTATTGTTCAAAAATTGACTCTAAAATATAGAGGGTAGAAGCAGCATTTATGTTATTATGATTTTGTAAATATTGTTTAATGTCAGGCCAAATAGTATTGAGACAATCCTCAGTGTCCATAACCTTTCACCCAATTCAAGGAGAATAGTTTTGACATTGGCCTCAAATCAGTTCTCATTTCTAATGCTTTCTCCATTATTTTATGTTTGCACAGTCCAATTCAATTCATATTTCAATCATGATTTTCTTACTCAGTTTTCTTCCTCAGTGTACTTTTGCTCTTCATAATAATCTTCAATGTATTATTAATTTGCATTCGCTTATTTTTTCCTAGAAAATATTTTCAAATATGTAAGCCAAGATGTATAGAAAGTAAAAATTTGCATTCTTAAATATATCAGTAGAAATGCCCTTTTTAAAAAAATAATTATTTTATTTAGCTTTGTTTATTTATTTTTAATTTGACTAGAGAGGGACAGAGTGAGAGAGGGAAAATGAGAAATAAAGCCTCCAGGTCTGGGATTTGAACCTCGGTCAACCATGTGGGAGTCCAATACCTTTTATGTGTCTTCTCAGTGTTCAAGTGCTTCAATATTATTTGTTGAAAATCTTATCTGTCTTTCTTCTGTTAAATTGCTTTTGTACTTTTGTCAATAATCAGTTGAGCATATTTGTGTAGGTGTGTTTCTCAGAATCTAATCTGTACCATTGATTTTTTTGTGTGTGTCTCTCTCTGCCAGTATTACGCTCTGTTGATTACTGTAGCTATATAGGTAGTTCTATAAGTAGTTATTTTTCCAAGTTCTATTTCTTTTTTTGAAGAGGTTTTTGCCATAGGGCGCATGCGCTCTCCAGAAAGACAGAGAGAGACAGAGAGACAGAAAGCAAGTAATCACCCCCCAGGGGGGATGGTCATGCCACAATCCCTTCTCCATTCTCCTCTCGGGATCTTGGGCACGCACGCACACACACGTGCCCGGCCTGAGTTTAAGTCACCGGGTCCAGGACTCGAACTGCGGTCAATTACATGGAAGTCCAAGTTCTATTTCTTAAGATTGTTTTAGGACTCATGTATTTCCATATAAATTTTCGAATAAGTTTCTCTATCCTAAAGGCTTGCTGGGATTTTGGTGAGAAGTACGTTATAATTCAACTTGGGAATAATTGACTATTGTTTTGAAACTTCCAAATCATGAACT